TGATCAGGAGTGTTATTTCTTCTCTCCAGAGTGAGTCTGTGGACAAATCTCTAAAGTTACCATTATGTTCTGTGATGAAAAAAGTGTGGTGAAGAGAACACTGAGAGCAACTAATATCAGTAACACTGAGAGTAAAAATAGAAAGCTGTATGCCTCCTTTCCCTAGTTTTTCTGTGGACTGTGTTACCTGGTTCTGTATCTCTTCATAAGCAGTGTTTAAAGGAGTGCTGAGGCCTTTATTAGCATCGTGGAAAAAATGCAGAGTTTGCACAAAACTAATTTCTACCTGAAAGGGAAAGATTGGAAAATGTCTTTGAAGGAGGCTAACAAACGTCTGCTTTCACACATAAGTGCTACAGTTTTCTTATGGTATCTGATTTTGTTCTTTCTAATACCGGCGTCTTTTTCTTTAGTCACCTTTCCGCACCTTGCAGGTTCTGCTCCTTCATGGTCTAGTCTTATGGACAGCAGCAAACAGTGGGATTACTACGCACGGCGAGAGAAGGACAGGGAGCGGGACAGAGATCGATCTCGGGATCGAGACCGGGACCGGGACCGAGACAGAGATCGAGAACGTACCAGAGACAGGGAAAGGGACCGAGATCACAGCCCATCCTCAAGCGCGTTCAACAGGTCAGTGCAACGTCTCAAACGTGCTGCAGCTCTGTTTTAAGCCCTGAGGCCTTGCTATGTCATGTGCTTCAGCGTTAAAGTCCAATGTTCATCTGTATATTCCAAGAGATGGAGGGTGTGGCCTCTTCCCTTGCTCCCTTTACAATTGGAAACTGAAATTCAATTTCTAAATGTAAAACAGAAATGGAGAAGCTACAGTATACGTCCAAGTTGTTGTTCGTGATTTGTTTTAATACGGAGTAAAGGTGGGATTTAAGCACTGTGTATGAGATATTCTGTTCTCTTTCACCTCAGTTGTTGTACAAAAACCTACAGAAGTATTTAAAGAGTCTTAGTTGCCATCTCAGTGCCACAAGCAATACAGAACAACATTTGTCCTTAATGGTGTTGTGAGCTGCAGAGATGGGTACTTCAGTCATTTGCACTGGCTGGATACCAATCTGTCCAACCAACCTTTTTAAAACTTATTTAAGGCCAACAACAATTTTTTTTTTTTTTTAATTATTTCTTTTCAGATGGATAATTATTACTCTTCAGGCTTTCAAACCTAATTGCCTTTAAAAAAAGGTGCAGCTATTCTGCAGTTCATGCGCACAAACAGAAAGCATTTAGTGCTGAACCTTCTGTGACTCCATAGAGTTGTGTTGGCTTGCCAGATTTATTCATATTTATTTTGTTCAATATTTGCTAAATATTTTGGAGTGGACGTCTAGACTGCTTTTCTCAGTTTTTATTGTTAAATTTGAATTTTGCAGAAAAATATACATGAGCTATTAAGCTGATTGTTTTTGCTAATGGTTTTATGCTGGAGGAAATGAGAACACCCAGAGTTAACGCAAACGACTTCAACTGAGAGACAAGATTTTTTTGCACGATGTTTGTTAGCTAAAGGCCCAAACTAGATGCAGGAAAGCAGCTTTTCCATGTGCACGGATGCCAAAATTATTGCAGTGATGTCCTCTCCTGTGCGCATGTGCTGCATTACAGGGTCAGTTTCTAAGAACTCAGCCCAATCTAAACATCTGTTTCTCAGACAGCTTGATTGAAGGCCAGAAAGGAGCCTGGTCATTCAAGGGTGCTTGAAATGAACCTTAATAGCTTCCAGGCCCAGAGAAATCTCTGTGCTGCTGCCAGAGTTATCTGCAAAGGAGGGGGAAGAGCAGGCCTCAACTTTTTTTTATGTGACTAAATTATCCACCATCTGCAGCAAAGCTGTTGCCACATGGCTGTGTTAAGAAAATGGGAGGCCCTTAGCTCGTATGAGTTGGTTTGGGAATCACAGAGAAGGTGGAAGTGATTTAATAAAGACTGAACAGGCAGGCATAACATTTCTGTATGTTTTGTTTATACATAAATACATATTTTAAGAAGGTTTATTTCAATTTTGTGCATTCAAAAATTGAGCTATGAGAATGTGAAGTATTCTGGAGACAACACAGATGCATTGCTTTTATTTGAATTCCCTTTGTTTAAACTTAAGCAGTAGTTTGGCAAGATTTGGGATAAGGATTATCTTTACCTTTTTACTGCTCAGAAATTACTCTTTTTATATGTTTTTGGCAGTTGTCTAAATTTAAAAAATCTATATATTTCTTAGAATTGTAAGAAAATTTGATGTATTTTTTTTTTTTACTTTATTAGTATAATCAAAATGTGCTTTATAAATAAACCCTCAGTTGTGTTTTATTCCTTCTTTGTCCTGCTGTCCTCAGATGAAATTGTGCATTTTTTCAGCATACCCCTTGAGAAAAGGCAGTGTTTTTTTTGGACTGATTTCTTCTGCAGAGTATGGTTTTGATTCTGTTCTGTTAATTTGCAACATTTAGTTGCTTCTGAAACGTACAGATCTCTGTCTGATTGGTACCTTACATGTCTCATGGCTGCTCCTTAGTAATTTAAAGAAAAGAACCTATATTTCTGAGGTCATTGGAGCCAATAATCCAACAAAGCAGAGCATGTTTGGCCGGAACCAGCTTTAAAGGAAAGAACTTGGTGTCCAGGTGGATTGAGCAGGACTGAACAGTCTGTGTGATAAAGGTCAAAATGCAGTGAGCTGAATTCCTTAGTGAGATCTTAAAGAAATGATATTGACACCTGGGTCACTGTCACAGAAGTAGTAATTGGACAGTGCTAAGAGTGGAGCAGCTGTGTGACTGTGCAGGTGACAAGCAGTGGCACAGACTGCCCAGAGTCTGCAGAGTCTCCTCTTGGAGGACGTGGGCATCCACCTGCTCCAGATGTCTCTGCTTGAGCAGGGCTGGGCCCAGATGGACCCAGAGGTCCCTGTCCACCTCAGCCATCCTGTGATCTGACACAGCAGATTGGAGCTGCTCACTCTGAGATGTAGTGAGTGCATCATGTTAATGTAGTCATTTATCAGTGCAGCTGTATCGCTTAGTCGTAAGTCATAACTTTGAGCTGTAGTTTTCTTAATTTCAGTGTATGAATTTGTAATGTTTCTTAGAATAACAGGAGTTTCTGAGTTCTGTTTGATGCTTCCCTACGCTACCCTAAATTGCTGATTTTTAATTTTTTTTAATTTGCTTCGTGATACAATCGTATAAAATTTCATTGAAAGCTGTTGCTTCAGGCATCCGCCCCTTCTCTGAGGTTTTTGTGCATGGCTGTAATGATCACTGATGTAATGTTCTCATTTGGGAAATGGTGTCTAGATCCAAGTTATGGCAGATAAAATTGTTTTGACTTGAATTCTCACTGCTGAAGTGCATGACAAAGCTCTCTTGAGGTGAGCTGTTCTCCTTGCATGATTTGTCTGATCTGCTGCTGTCCAGGCAGCTGGGAAAAGACTTGTTTTTTTTTTTATGGTAAATGTTAGCAAAGAAACATGAAGGAAAGAATGTAACACTTGGCTTTTGTCAGCTTAATAGTATCAAAATAAGCCTGGTTATGTTGTATCTTCTTGTAGGACTTGGTAAGTCCAGAGTATAAGGCAAAGAGCTGTAATAGCCTTTTAACATAGGGTGCGGATTTGGTTTTGGTTTAGAAACACAGAAGCAACATGAAGATTTTTTTGGTCATTTTTCTCAAAAGTGTGTAAAGATTTCTTATGTATATATATATAGATACTGCTTAGTGTTACTGTCCTGAAAAGGTCTTCTTTTCATCAGTGATGAAGAACGATACAGATACAGAGACTATGCAGAAAGAGGCTACGACCGCCATAGGACAAGCAGAGAGAAAGATGACCGACACAGAGAGAGGAGACACAGAGAGAAAGAAGATACGAGGCACAAATCATCTCGAAGGTTTGATTTTTTTTTTTTTTTTTTTTTTTTTTTTAAACAGGATAATAAAGACTTAACCAGCTTAAAAAATATTTTTTTAAAAGAACCCCAAACAAACTGGAGTTTTGTGGAAAGACTGTAAACACTTAGATGTACTACTTGGAACAAGCTTGCTGTATAAAATGTGGACAGCGTTGGTGCAGGGTAACTTCATATTGATGCATATGGCTGTCTTGGATAGTGAATAGAAATTATAAATTTGTGGAAAAAAAATCTAAAATGATGGGTGAGAAAGAGGTAGAGTGAAGCTGACATTCATCAGCATTAACACATGAACGTAGTGAAATAACTCTTATTTTCACTCCATAGGAATTATTCATCTTGATCCTTTTTGAATTAGAAATTCAGATAGAGGGGATGAATGAGAAGTTAAACTTTTAGGGATACTAGTAGGAATGTGACATAACTAGAATTACTACTATTAGAATATGGGTTGCAAATCTAAAATTATTCAAACATTGCAGTAAAAATAAAAAATACAGGGTGTGTGAATATACATGACACTACTTGAACACTTCAGCTCAATTCTGATATCCAACTACTATGTGGGACAGAACAGGAGAAGGTGCCAGTTTTCAAGTATGAACGCAAAGGCTGTAGTTTTCAGTACTCTGATGAAGGGGGGCCGAAGTGTCATGCAATTGCTGGAGGTGTATTTTCCCTCTTTTTATTTAGTAACAGCAGGCGCCGTCACGACAGTGAAGAAGGGGACAGCCACAGAAGGCACAAACACAAAAAATCCAAACGAAGCAAAGAAGGAAAAGAAGCCAGCAGTGAACCTGCTCCTGAGCAGGAAAACACTGAAGCTGCCCCCGCGGAATAGGCTTGTGTGGTTTTTGCCTATTCGCATAAATATTAGTGCCAGAAATAGATTACTATGAATCTTGTTATTTTTCTGGTTATTAAAATAATTTGTTCTTAATCTTGTTCTGTTAGTACAAAATCAAAAGTTACTTGGTTTTTTTGTTTTTGTTTTTGTTTGGTTTTTTTTTTTTTTTTTGTTTGGGTTTTTTTTTTTTGGTTTTTTTTTGTTTTTTTTTTTTTTTTTTTTTTTTTGAAAATAAAAGAATAAATTTTTCAGATTAAGATTCCTGGGCTGACTTTCACTTTTAAGAAGCATCGCGAAAACATCTTACAGCTTGAAAATGGTGCTCTTTGAACACGTGTAGGGATTTCAAACTCTTTGTATTTGATTGTCTCCTTTTTTCGTGAGCCGGTGGGAAGGTCATTCTTCTGCTGGCTTTAGAAGCAGTGTGCACTCACTTTATTATACACCAACATCTGGAACAGTGTGAGTTCAGTATCGCTTTTGGAGGTCACATTTGAAAAGATCGTCCTTTACTGCAGGGACAGGAAGAAAATTGCAGACTCTTCAAGAGCTTTATGCTGAAGCGTAATGAGAACAAGAACAAGAGGGAAGGGGAAAGGTGCAGACTGTCCTCAGTCTGAGGGAACACTGAGTGAGTGAGTGAGTGTGATCATACACTTGGTAATTACATCTGGTTTGTGTGGGCGTGTAAAGAAGAATTAAACTGGATAATCATCCCTGCTGCTTTTCAGTGGCTTAAGAGAAAGTTCATTTTAGTCTCCGTGCTCGGGGACAGCTGTGCCTAACGTGATAAAGATGAACAAACACAGCCTCTCTGCATTGCTGGCTTTTAGGAGAAAAAAAAATAAGACTTTGAAAAATGAGCATCTTGCAGAGAAAGGCAAAGAACTATTTTAAGAAAAAAATAACAAGTCCATCATCACTTTTTACCTTCTAGCACAGTGACAAGTGAGATTGGTACGGCAGCACAGCAGAAGTTACACCTTGTCATCAGGGTACCGGTTCATTTTCTTTTGGATGCAAATAACATCTGTACAAGTACACAGTTACAGTTATTTTTAATAATTTTAGAAACTCACAGTTTTACAGAATAACAAAGGGTACTTGAAAGTCTTCAAAATATCAGCTTCATGCTGACCCAAAAAGGTACACATAACCAAAGTGCTATTCATGTGTTGGATAAAAATCTTGACCTGATTTTTGCAATTAGAAAAATTGCAAGGATTTTTTCCACAGGTTATTCAGGGATTTCTTTTCCTAAATCAAAATAAAGTGGGTGAGCAGGAGGTGCTGCTCCCTGAATTTCATTATTATTATAATGCATTAAATAGATATAAAAAAAAAAAAAAAAAAAAAAAACTTGTGGACATGGGGAAGGAATAACTTAAGTCTGTAGCTTAAATCACTCTAAAGTGATTCTTTGACACGTGCCTTTTCTTTGTCTAAACTTGGCTTTTCTTGACATGCAGGTTGAAATTTCACAAACCATTTCTTTATAAACACATATTTGGCCTCCCAAAAAGCAAAGATGGCTGACAGCTGTAGTGTTTCTTGTTTTTGTTTGCCTTTCTTCTGTGTTAAATTACTTCTTGAGATCTCCATGAAGATTTGTTTTATAAAAAAGTGCCAGGCCAGGAGGCAATCGTGAGAGTAATTTTTCCTTTTAGTTCTTTGAGCATCCTTGCCAAGCAGGCGTGCATCATTCCTGATGTGTTTCTGCCATTGACAGCGAGGAGGATATCTCCACATCTGAAAAAACAAAAGGCAAAATATGAGAATATTAAACAAGGGCACTTCTCCTTGGACGGTGCCAAAGTATGTCCATTCATTGGGTAGGAGAAGTGTCACCATTATTTTCAGGCTCACTGCTGTTCATGAATAAGGGAACAGAGCAGCACAGAGCAGTGTCCTGTCACTGTCTACCCAAGGAAAAAGTTGATTCCCCTCCTTTTTATAATCACCTTTTAAAGACTACGTAGTATTGTGGTTGGATGGTTTTGTTGTTTGGTTTGGCTTTTATTTGAGCTGGGGGTGTAGAACAGCTCCTCTGCTGGCATTCTTTTTATTGCCCTAGAAATCAAACTGATGCATCTTTTACTTATACTAGAGATTGCTAAGAAAGCCATCCAGAAATACTCTACAATGAAAGTAAGTCTGTTTAAGTTCAGGACACGTGTCCTGTTTTCAGAGCTTAATTCTGTACTCCACTGAGCTCACTAGAAATTTTTAATTTGTTAATATGAAACATGGTTGTCTTCCTATCTGTCAGGGGATTCCTTTTACTTCCCCGTTCACAGCATTCAAGCAAACCTTGTTTAAAAAATCTGGATGAAAGACAACTTAGTGAGAAGTAGCATTTCCCATTACCTGATTCTTCCATCGTTGTATGCTGGTGTTCCCCCAACAATGGATTTGATAAAGAAAGGTTTGTTTCCACTGTGTTCTTCGTAGCCTCCCACAATGCTGAAGCCGAGGCTCCCGGATGTATTTCTTCGTAATACAATTTCTTTGCAGCTGTACAAATACCTGAAACAAAGCAGTCTGATTAAATGTCTTACAGCTAACTCTGGATTAATGAGGCATCTGCCTCTTCGTATGCTCATACGGTGTTTTGAAGATGTGAAATAACAGCAAAGTTCCCTTGCAGTAAACACTTGCCGTTTCCTTCTTTACTTCAGTGCTGCTTTCCACTACCCGTTATGCTAGAAGTGAAACAACTAGCTCATCTTGAATTTAAAATAATAAATCAGTTGGTTCACATGGTAAGATTTAATGGAAATGTTTTAGTTACGACTGAAAGTGATGAAAACGCTCTCAGACTGGATTTAATATTTGTAAGCTGTAATTCTAGAAACTGTATTTCATTTGCCTCATACAATCCAGTGACTGCTTTTATCTTCTGTGTGATTAATTGTATCAAAAGTAGCCAGGGATTGAGAACTAAACAAAAATCCAAGGCCAATGCATTGTGCCAGAATTACAGCAGTGGCAGAGATCACACAAAGAACTACTCCAGGAAGAAGGAATCCTGAGCTTTTCTTGCCAAGCAACATGGTGAGTTGGAGCACGGAGGATGAGCAGATCCCATTCATTTCAGTCAGTCCACTGGAGTACTGAGTCTGCTGTTGGTAACAGACTGTAACAACTATCAGTATTTTCGCTAAGTGAGCTGCAGTCTGCCTCTCCTGCCTCTTTTAAATGTATTATATGAAATTGTAGGATCATAGATCCTTAGAGGAAGGGACCTCTGAGGGCCATCTAGTCCAACTCCCCTGCAATGAACAGGGACATCACAGCTAGTTCAGGTTGCCCAGGGCCTGATCCAGCCTTGAAAAGTCTCCAGGGATGGGGCATCAACCAGGTTATGCTTATTCAATGCTTAGCTGAAACAAAGAATAGGGGGAAGATCAGCATGGGGATTAGACTCTTAAATTTTGCATATGGCTCATGAGTGCATTACTTAGAATGCCTCTTCATTGTAACCCATTAGAACAAAATAAATAAATTAGTTGCAGAACAACAGAGACTGTCCTTAATTCTTAATCCACTCATCATTATCAGTTTGCCTAGGAATGACTGAAAAGCCTGAAAATCCTTTTGCTATTCCACATCCAAACGGACATGTTGGCCTACAGCAAAAACTGCAACAAACTCTGTTCAGAAACACTTCAGGTTTCTAAGAAACAGCTGACCTTTCTTCCATAGAAGGATTAATAACCTTATTTCAGAGACTACTATGTCTAGCGTTTTTAAATTTTGCCAAATAATGCTTTTGCTGTGTTCACAGCAGGATTTTATAGTAGTAATCAATTAATCCCCCAGGGCCTACAAATATTCACCTGCTGCCAGGATGGTAGGTATATAATGTTTGTGCAGGCATTCACTGGCTGCTAATGTAAGAAACAGGTGACTTCTTTTTTTTTCTTTCCTCAGCAGCCAGGCATTAGTACTTTACCATCTGTGGACTTAAATGTGCAAAATCACTCAGGACCTCTGTGTTTGATGGTACTTATCAAGGTCATGACCAAGCAGTGCCAGGGCCCAGCTGGTAGTGCTATTACGCCGTGTTGGTTTGAGGGACAGGGGCTCTGCTGCCCAGCATGATGGTCTTTACCTAAGGAAACTGGAAGGTTAAATCCGTATGCTATAGAAAAACTGTCAAGCAGGTGAAGACATGAGGAGAGGACACAGTGAAGACATGCACTGTGTACAACATTCTGTAAAAACAACAGCTACACAGTTTCCATCAGTCTGGAAGGCACAAACACATGCTATAAAGATCTATGTTAGATGTAAGTGAAATGGAGGATGCTTGCCAGCATTAGCATGTGCTGTACCTAATTACCAAGCCAAAAGGTATTTTTCTTTAATGCAGTGGCTGAGTTTCAGTTGCCCATTGCCCTTGCACCATATCTTGAATCAGAATAAACCAATGTTCTGATGTTACAGAGCACCAAACTTTCATTTCCTTTAGGAACAATGAGATACATCTTGCTCCAGTATTTTTTGAATTAATTTCAGTGCAACAGTTTCTGATCATCTGGTGTTGTTCCTACTATGCAGATTTGCAGGGACTTGCTGAAACCAGAGCAGAAAATCACTCCTACTTACCTGAAGTCAGTCCTGAAACCACCTGTCGTCAGCATGGCTGTTTTGTTCTGGAGATGGACCCCTATGTCCTGCCACAAGGCCCCATTCCACCTATTGCCCCTTCAAAATGGAGTTTCACCTATAGGCTACAGGGCACAAACATGGCGATGTGCCACTCGTAAGCCATTCATCAATGCTGCTGGGAACATGAAAGTGATGCCAGGAGCCCAGCACATGGGATGCCCAGCTACATGCCAGGCTGCTCCTTCAGTGTCCTGAGCAAAGAGCAGCCTGAAGGGAGGTATTTCATTTGGCTCTTTCCAACTGCATAGTAATCAAGGCAAGCAAGAAGTGCCACAGAGAGAAAATGAGAAAGTATTTACGTCAGCTGAAGATGCTTAGTGTGCCTGAGTAGATTAGTTTTCTGTGGTGGTGACCCCCAGCCCAACTGATCTGACCCAGTTAAGCTACCATAACCCACTAAACTGCAAGTAGTCCAAAGTGAACTACCCTCTGTCTGGGAGTAAAGCTGTTTGCAGTCTTTTGCTGCTATCTGTAAGCACGCCAGTGGTCAAAAAGCTGAGGACAAGGAATAATTTAAGTGTGAGCTGCCTCAGATTTGAGCCTTGAGGATAAGCAGCCTAGACACAGACCTATCATAAGAAACGTCACATCCAAGCATCAGTTACTGCTGCACAAGGAGTTTAAAATAGCCTGTTTTCAACAGCAATGTACAGTTCCCTCCTGTTACAAAGTGTAGGCAGCCCCATGATCTGGGAGTCAAAACCTGGCAGCAGAAGAACAGCAGCAATAAGGTTGGAAAAACAGGTCACTTCCTCCTGCCTGCAACAGGGGAGCATCTAGCACCTGAGTGGAGCGAAGTTTGAGAATTGCACCCGTCGGAGCCTGGAGGGAGTTAATTTGGAAGAACTTCCCTCCCAGCCCCATGTTTTAGGCCCAGTACTACCCCTGGTTTGCAGAATGACTTTGGCCAACTCCTGTCTTTCTCGTCTCACTTTGCAGATGAACAAAAGCACTCGTGTGAAGTACTAACGCTTGTAAATGTTATGACAGGATGATCTATAAAGTATTTTTAAGTGCTAGCTGGGGAAGGAAACGTAAGGAGAGAAAAGAAAGGAGAGCAGGAACACAAGCTGGAGCGGGAGAAATGTCACAGGGCCGGGGAAATGCTTTTCACCAGCTGCTGCACATTATTTACTCTGTGCATTCTTAACAACATTTCCCTCCAACAATAAACGTGACCTGTCTTACTCAACAACAAAGAATTAAATTAGCTATCCTGAAATAAGTCTCCAGGCTAGAGTGCTTACGTTTCTGCATCACTGTTTCCTACAGCCCGCAGCCCCTGCGCCCATGCAGTCCAAGTTTTGACAGATGTCAGATTCACATGTGTGTCTATTTTATAACCACCCTGTACTGGACCGTGCTGCAGAAAGAACAGAGAAGTTGTTTACGTACTACCAAATCACAGAGAAAAGCTATTGAGGCCAATATTAAGACTGCCAAAATTCAAGTGAGTTCCGCAAACGTTGAATTGTGCAGGACAGCTTTTCTAAGGCTGTGAGCTTCAATGAGGACAGATAACCTGTCTGTCTGATTCTGCTGCTACTGACTGGATCCAGAAGTTTTTCTCACCTAGGTATGTACTGTCCATCTTCCCGAGTACCTCACGTGATCTCATACAGAGATGATTTTGACATTGCTACCTTACCACCAGCTGTTTCAGTTGTACTTAGATGCAGGCACTTTGGAGCAGTCTCTCTGGTAAATGGTATGGTTTTACTTCATGCTCCTTGCTCCTTGGTTGCACACCAGGCACCTTTACTCAGACAGGCCTGTTTGAAGGGTGTATGAATGGAGAATCATTTTCTGTACCAGCTTGGAAATCCATGGGACTTATGGAAATACCTCAAAATCAGTTGGGCTGTGATCCTTGCCGAAAGCACACTGAAGGGCAGATAGGGAAAGGCTGAATGCTCAGATTGGAGGAAAACGAGCTCATATGATACTTTCATATGAGCATGCACTGTGGGGGGGAAGTGAAGACTCCAACTGTACCTAATGAACAAATCCAGATCTGATCCTCACGTGCACCAACCATCTCCTACTGAGGATGAAGTACACCTTTGTTACCATCACTCCTGCCCAACTCTGGCCCCTATCTCAGCCTGGTGGTGGGACCGGCGTGCTGGACCAGCATACTAATGCCCTGCCCCGGGTTGGCAAAGAAAGGCCACAGTGTGCTTGCCATTGCAGCTGGGCTGAAAGCACAATGAGCTTCCTGTTTGCAAGCTTGCTGACACTGGAGCGGATTTTCCTTCTGACTAGACGGGTGGTAATGGCTTCACACATGCAGCCTTTGGAAGGGGGGATAGAGGGACCTCAGATACTGCTTTTAAATGAAGAAAAAGATACCTCCCTTTTCCTCACACACTTCAAAGCACTACTAATGGATGGGAATACCAGGTGCGAGTCTGCAGCACTGTGGAGCTCTGTCCTTCACCTCAGTCACCTCAATGAGGACGTGGGAACTTTGGGCAGCTGTGGGTAGGAGATGAAAAGCAGGCAGTTCAGGCTGTCTATGCAACAGAGCTAAGGTGCACTGACACCAGAAGCAGCAGGGTGCATCGCTTGTGCCCATTTAGCTATAGACCTGAAGGCAGGACTCAGCATCACAAAGCCTGCTCTGCTTGCCTCCTTCTCTACAGGGAACATTACTCATGCTCCAGTGCTGCATGTTATCACCTGTAAAAATGCAGTGGTCACACTCAGGAACGCAGAGGAAGCAAGCAGGAGAGATAACCTCACTATTTCTGCCTGCCTGCAGAACGACTGGGAGAGAGGAGTTCACCATTCCTGGGGGAGCCAGTGATAGGCTATTGGTTTTCTGCTTTTCCTTGTTATTGCTTTTCCTTCACAGTAATAAGAGTTCAGTCCACTCCACTGCAGGAGGAACCTCTCATCCATTGATGGCAGGCCTACAACCAGCCTGCTCTAGACAAAGGTATTAGCTTCAGATGGGCTCACAGAGCACATCCATGCAAGGCACCACTTGGCCATCAAAGCAGAGCTTGCTGCAAGGTGAAGGAGCTCAACATTGCTCAAGGCAAGAGGAGGAAGAGCATCGAATCTCTGTGCAAGTGGGAAGGTGAGGTCATGTCCTGAATTTGAGCGAGGCCCAGCTGTGCTGCAGACTCTTTCTTCTCACAAGAGAAAGAGATTTTCTGAACCTCCACTGGCTTCAGGAATACGGGTGAAAATAGCTAGTAGTCTGAAATCTTCATTCTTTGAGGCTGGGGAAGGAAGGTTGCCACCAGTGTGATGCTGGCTTTGTGCATCCGTAGACTCGCAGCACGTCCTCAGTTTGTACTTCACAAAATGTCTCTGAAGCTGCAGGTATACACTGTGTGCACCAACTGGGAGAGAACTTCACGGCATGCGACATGGCTTTCATTATCCTTTCTGAAAGGACAACACAGCTGCTTCCTGCGTGTGACAAATGTGCTTCTTCCAGTTGGGGGTGGGGTGAAGAGAGGTGATTTGGAGATGCTGGCCAACTGTATGCACTGTGCAACATCTGGGCAAAGCCAAACAATCCAGCTGCCTTTGGCAAGGGAGAATGAAGGCTGTGCAGCTTGGGAGCAGCAGGAGGGGCAGCTCTGCCTTCTGCAGGGTGGTCGAGCCAAGGCCTCCATACAAGCTCTTCCTCTCACTCCCTAAGTGCCAGATACGTTTTCAGGACTGGAACAACTCAGGATACTTCCCTCCCTTGCGAGGGGATCTGCGTGTCTAATTTTCCATGTACACATACCCACTTACAAAGGGGAGGTATTTAGAGGAAAGTCTGTGACGGAGCCTGGATTTAATTAACATGTCAGGGCAATGAATCAAGCCAAAAAAGAGAACTGCCAGAGAACACAAATCTTTCCTCCCACTCCCCTTCAGCGAGAGGCGGCCACAGCCGGACTCACCGGGGCAGCCCCAGCCACGTTACCCAGGACGGCGACCACTCGCTGTGCTCGGCAGCCTCGCTGCGTTCCCGGCCATCACATGTCCTCATCTCCAGGGCCTTGAGCACCACCGAAGAGCTGGTGTTTTTCAGCAGGGCCACAGCCTCGTTCCGGCTGACCCCTGTCAGGTCGATCCCGTTCACGTTCAAGAGGATGTCACCTGTGATAAAAAGAGATGGTTGAAAAGACCCTGCTGGTGTTGCTGAGACGTGTCCCCAATTGACAACAAGCAAAATCCAGATCCAAGATCTTGCTGTCTAATGAAGCTGTTGATGGCACCACCTGACCTACATCCCATAAGCGCTGTGGTTGTCCTTGCAGAGGGACACCCCTCTTCAAATCTGGGGTGCTCTCACAGCACCCATCTGCATCCCCCGTGCTGGCAGTCCCAGCACTGCTGAGTGAACCTCTCCTTGTGGTCTGCCCCGGGAGGCAAGCAAAACTCTTAAGGCTGCTCAAAACCTTGGAAGCCTATGGTACTGTTGTAACATCATGTATTCATTTGTTTCCAATTTTATCAAATTAACCAGGCTGAATTTTCCATGCTGGGTTGTCTGCCTCACAATGAATCTATTTTTTAAAATGTTTTTTTTATTTTTTGGAAAATGCATCCCACTGAGAGGCAGTTATTTCCCAGCAGGAGAAGAGGGGAAAAGCTGCCTGTTTGCTCCTGTTGTTGTGTTGTCACACGCATGAAGAGAAGCTACAGTTCCTGCAAAACGAGATCCCTACATAGGCTGGGGTAGGCTGCAGGGCTCAAAAAGACCAATTCTCTCCTTGTTCTGACTGTCCTGGTGCTGTGAGGAGCAGAGTAATTCCTTCTGTGCAGTAAGAAATTCCCTGCAGCTTCGGGACAGTGTAACCAGGTGAAGCTGAGAAGACATAGCACCTCCAGGACAGTGGCGTCTGTCACCATTCCTTTGCCCTCTATCAGTTTCTGCAAAAAAAGACTGAAAAAATATACCTCAGCTTGCTCCGGATGGCTTGTGCTCGTGGAGGGGGAGAATCCATGAATGCCTCTGATTGCATCAAAAGCCAAATGGAGGTACAAAGCCAAAGTTTTTAGGCAAGATGTTGAGCCACAAGACATTAGCATTACTTCATATATGATGGGAATTCTGCTCAGCTATCTCTCTTAGAGCTCATAAATTATATGACAACCAAGCTCAGAAATGTACATAAAAAAACACAGAACAATCACAAATGTTGCATAATGAAGATTTCAGCAGTTAGGAGATAGTGGTGCAGGCTTTTCCTACCACAATACGCCTACATTTCCCTTCTCAGAGGTGGTTGTTGCTGTGAATTATTACTTTTTTGGGGGCTGACTTCAGACCCTCTGGTCTGCCGCCTCCCAACAGAAGCCTCTGGGAAGCTGAAAGTGTCAGGGCATGATGGTTCTGCACTATCCCTGCTTTTTGAAGGAACCCTTTGAATTAAAGCAGGCTGCCAAGATCCCCATCTTTTTACCTGTTTTTATCCTGCTGTCTCTGCTGATAACTCCTCCTGGTTCAACGCTTATCACATAGATAGGCAAATCCCATTCTCGGTTTGTTGCTCCGCCTGCCACAGTCATTCCCAGTGATTCTGTGTGATCTTTCCTGACAGCCACCACCTTCTCATGACAGGTGACAGTGTGAAGAGTGCTCTGTGACGGCAAAAACAGCAACAAACACGGTGGGCAAGGAGACCCCCTGACAGCTTAAGCAATTTCTACTGAAGCAAGTATTCACCAGAAAATATTTAGGGAATACCAAAGCACTTGACAGCTGCTTGCCACTCCTGGGCTTAGGTTCTGCAGAGTCAGAGGTACAGCCAAAATAACCCACACCTTAAAGGCAGACACAGCCCCCACCGAACTCGAAAGTGTCTTAGCCATGAAACTCTGAGGAGTAGATCTTTGAAATATAAATATGGAGAACGATTAAAAAGAAGAAAGAAAAGTTGTTGATGCTAAGGCCAGCTAGGACCACCACTATTCCTCGCTTCTGTAATTATCAGGCTATGAAGAACCACACTCCTCTTGCAGAAGCCCTCTTGGAGCTAGAATAGCTGCTAAATGTATTTCACATGCAACCCCCGCCCCCTTCTCATTCAAAAGCATGACCTCACACTCATGAGATGCAAAAATAATCTATAAATCTCATTTAAAGCCACATTAATCTCCTCCAATCAATTTCAGATCCCACAGCGACATCCCACCTCGATTCCTGTGCCAGCAGAGCAGAAAGAGGAGCAGGCGGGCCTGTGCTGCTGCCACCACCAAGGTGGAGGAAGGGAAAGAGCAGCAACAGAGTTATATGGGAATAGGGAGGAAAAAGGAACAGCCTGGGTGAGAATTCTGTGGTGCAGGGACAGCGATGTGGAGTGCTTGCTCATACATAGTGCTGGAATGGCTTCATCTTTGGGGAAGCCGCAGACCCTTGGGAACAAAAAGGCAAAGAAATTGGTGAAAAAGATCTCTTCATCACTGCAAGTAACAGCAAGCTGAGGCAGCTGTTTGGACACACCAACCTCTGTGTGCAGCACATGGGCACTGTGTCAGAGTCATTGGGTCTGCAGCTTCCAACTGAACCTAAACATTTCTGAGGCTTTATGACATTCTCCTTTATAGAACATAGATGTTCCAATACAGCACATTTCAGTCATTCCAAAGACCACATTTGTCTTCAAGGTATAAATGTTCTAAACACAGTAGAGTTCTGTGTCTGTGCAAACTAAACTTAACATTTCATCCACGTTTGCACAAAAAAAATGTTGCCCTTTCTCCCCCTTGAAAGGGAATGGCTTTTTGTCAGGAAATAACCACTTCCTGAAGTGAATGGTGGAAGGGCACTACTAATTTTCACAACAATGCAGTTTGTAATTCTGTAACAAAATATGCAATTTTGATTTAGGTTGAACCCGAGCAATCCTGTTTCTCTTGCCATGTCCATCATGTCCCAGACACCACAAATGCTGCCTGATAAGCCAGACAGGGCTCTAGTTTTGAAGAATCAGTGCTTTCTGATTCAAACATTGTCCTGTTACATTTCAGCAAAGAATCATAAAAGCAGTGGTAGTTGTATACTCAAGCACGTAGGATCAGTTTTCCTTTGAAGCTGCTCTATCCACACGTCCTTTTACATGGCTTCAGATAGAGAGGAATTAGGGTGGTTCAGTTGAGACAAAGGCAGTGATGAAAGCGAAGCAAAGCCTTTTTTAGTAAACACACGTAGAGCTTTCCTGGAAGGACCACTGATAATGAATAAACCAGTTGAAAGGCAGTGTTTATCAGTGACTGCATTTCGATGCATTCTCTTCCAAACAATTGTCCTCCTCTGTCATTTTGAAGCGACCTCAGAGGTCAGAAGAAAAATATAACAGTTCATTTTCTCCTTTTTAAAAAATATCAGGGGGTATGTTTACTGTAAAATAAATATTTACAGCAGATCATCACAACATCAAAGCCATGATGCATGTCTTGAAGGCAAAGTACATAGCTGTTTCTGGAAGATGCATTTCACCTGAAGGCTAACCTGCTTGTAAGTCCACAGAATGTCTCCTGTTTAAGCAATGGGACAACTTAAGTATTACTGGGCATTTAGTGAGAGTGGAGCAAGAGATCAGTTCCAATTAAAAATAAGTGTTATTTAATTAATGGCAAAGTTCCCACTGACTTCAAAGAAATTAAATCTGGCCTATTTCTTCATTCCAGCCCTACTCAGCAGCCTCTGCTGCACAAGAGAGTGATCCTGACATCTCTTTTCTGAATCCAGGCAGAAGCCACATCCCCCCACCCTGCAGACCAGAATATGGTTTACAAGGCCCCAAGTCTCCCAGCACACCACACACAGCCCATCACTGCCACTGCAAAAGGAGGTGGCATTACATGCCCAATTACCATCCGTACCAGCCTGAAAGAGCTGCCTTCTCACACTTTCCAGACTGATGCAAGTTGATGGGAGGGCAACAGCTTGGCCCAAAGTGATTTCTCAGCCCCTGTATGAACAAGGTGGGTGCTGGAAGCTGAGTTCACTCTTGGCACCAAATGCAAGGCTTGCAAGACTTGTAGCCCATACTTATGTACATGAGAGCTGCTTCCCTCAAAGAGAGTGTTCCTGACATGCTAACACCACCCACTAAGGTGAGGCCAGGGAAAAAAATAAACACCTAAAATCCATAAAAATTCAGGTCAGTTAGCAATAATTCTATCCATCACATGTAATAAAGCAATGCCACCAATGGCAGCAGGTAGCAGATCCACCAAACCACACACACATAGCAAACTCCCTTGGTAGTAAACTGCAGACACTATGCATTGTGCTGCCTTGTGTGTGAGAAGGAGCACATGCTGCACTTGGACACTGTGCAGACCCTAGGCCTGCAAGCATTATGCCTGCACTAATGTCTGTTTAAAAAAAAAATAACATTTTAAGCCTGCCAAAGCTTAGAGTTTAAAGATCTTGAATTGCAAATGATGCCCAGTTGAACCTTCAGCAAAAAAGCAGGAGAAATTCAAACTGACATGCTTGTACTCTATAAAAGGGCAAATAACACTCCAGTAGTGATTGTATAATCCCCAAAGCCCTCAGTGTCTGAAGATAATTGCGTCCACTGGCTGTACTGATCTACAGATCTATTGCCAGAGCATCTTCTCTGAGACAGGCTCTCCACTGCCAGCACAGAGACAAAGGGAGGCTGTAGTAGCTCCAAGCTTTGTTTCCTGGCTCTGATCTTAACTGGACAGTGCCCCAGCAGTGGCACTGGGCAGAAGCCCACAGCATCCCACTCACGCTCCAGTGGGGCGCACATCTCTTGAGGCAAACTGGAAATCCCCCCACAAGCCATGGTCTATTCAACAAAAGATGATTTTTTAGCCTTAAAGGGACAGTTGCAAGGTTAACACTGACCTGCTAAGCTTATAGATCCCCCCAAATAACGTTGAATTTACCAGACTTGTCCAATACCTCTTGATATAGGAAGAGAAAATGATCTCTGGGACCTGGGGCAGGGATCTAGGGCAGTGTATGAAAAACAAGCAGTGTAGTCCCACATGGTATCAATTAATCAGATCTCCATGGTAGAACTAGCAGGTGCTCCAAGCATCACTAGAAATCATATAGCAGCAACATGATATAATTGCTGTCCTACACATATCTCCCTAAGGAAAGCATTACTTCATTAGTAAGTAATGTTTTGCAGATGCATGATTAACTGGGCACTACTGCTACCGGCCAGTGGCTACCAGGCATTGGCTGCTCCATGATTTAACTCCTGCTGATCCTTACTGAGAGCTGGGACTGAGACTTCACAGAAAATGATACTAACAGTAAAAATACACTGCTATATTTTTTACTCATTAAAAACACTGAATAAATGTAGTGGTTTTGTTTGTTTGTTTGTTTTTTTAAAGGAAGCCTGCAAAGATTGAGTATCATTATGCATCTGTAATGCAGAGCTAGGCTCGTCTCCTGGCTGATAGTTGTGTACCCCATCTGGCATCTGGTTCAGCCAAAAGGTCTCTTAAGGTGCACTTCTGGCTGCCCATCAGGCAGGATGGATTTACGCAGCCCTGCTGTTTACCTTCCTGACACCCCCCTGGTGCAGGGGGCCAAGGACTAGCTTGTGAGGCTTTGTGTAGGGGTGACACTCAGAGTAATTGACATAAATTAACCAGGAATGTAACTTAAATTTAGTGAAATAAAGAAATTAATTTCTGCAAGGATGTTCTTGCATACAGTAAAACTATGTTCAATCTACTGTAGTTAATACATAGTATTAAACAAAAGCCACTGCCACTCATCAGGAGCACCTCCATACAGCACTTTAATTTGGTCTGAGTGGCATCACTCCTACTTACAATTATGACTTCAGATGGGTCAGAGTCACTTTTCCAAATGCAGGCAAGTCTTTAAAAGACAGAAGAGAGCACCTAAGCCCCTCTGACACAGGCTGCCATTTTCTAGACCAAACTAGCACATTTGGTGTCCAAATCCAGCAGAAAACTGGTACGCTTGGCATGGCCAGTGAGGACCTTCCAGCTCTTGAGCTGGGTCAAAGCATTTGTAGCTTAAAAAACATTCAACAGATTAATAACTACTGTAACTTCCAAGAAGCCTGTAGGAATCTCTTAGATCAACCTATGAAAGCTGTTTCCTGCACACATTTCTTCAGTTGGAGATATAACAATAAACCTCTTATAGTCATTGAAGCATGTATCCCTGTGTGGCTCAGGTCTTTGCACAAGTCCAGCTCCACACCCATCACACCACTGCCCCACCATCCCTCTTCACCTTCACTTCCCCTTCTCACCTCAAACTGAGTGAGGGAAGAAACATTTCCTGGAGCACAAATGATGAGGAGCATAGTTTTATATTTCAATTGCAGAATAAGACACGGCACTACTGGTGACAGGATCCAGAAAGGCTACCCTGAGACCCACAGTCAGCCACACAAAGGTCCCCTCTCCCAAGGACAGCAGAGCAGATGTGTCCTCACCTTACTGGCACTGATCCTCTCAGCAGGACAGGGCTGGGGGCTGCTGCTGTAAATCCATCCCGTCTCCTGCAAGATGTCAGGGGGCTGCTCTCTGGTCTGCCGCGATATCACAAAGTGGACATGCCGCTCGCTGGCCTACGGGAGGAAGCACAGGGTGAATCCCATCACTTTGCTGCAATGACCCAGAACAAGCTGAACAGGACTGCAAGTAGTGACCTGAGCCATGATAATGCAATCACAGTTCATTCCTTGTGTCCTCCTGCACGCACCAGGGCAGACCAGCAATGTGCCTGCTGCAGGAGAGACCCCCACACAATTAGCGCTGTAACGAGGAGCATGATCCAGCTTAAGCTGGTGAGGGTGGAGAAGAACAGTGCCACAGAGTCCATGTGTATGTAACAGCACAGCAGATGTAAGGCAGATTGAAGAAAGGGATGCGTCACCACTTGAAGAGGTAAAATCCTAGTGTGCCAGAACACAGAAAAAGAGAATGAGAAGGCACAAGCAAGTGCATAGAGTAACAGCATTTGGTCCCAGAGGGACTCCTGTCTGCTTTGTGTGGGGGTCATTATCAAGGATCTAATTTGGAACCCCCACCAAGCATCTCTGTACAGCTTCTGGTGTGTCACACTTCCAGTGCTTGCTACCCACCTCCTGCTCTCTGGGGAGGAGCTCCAAGGAAAGCTGCCATTGAATAAGCAGCTGGAAAACCACCCCAGATCCAGTTGCACTACTGAAATCAAAACTCTCATGGACAATCAAGAGATGCCATGGGAGGCTCCTGGGATTTACATTTGTATAGTTCAGTTTGCTTTTCCTGTGGATTCAGTAGTACTGAGAATTAAAAACACTTTTGAAAAGTATCACTAATGTTTAAAAAAACGATTTATCTCTACCAAACCTCCACATGCAAGTCTGAAATTTGCATGTCCAGCCCATGCTATTTGAAGGTGCTACCTTCCTACCTCAGTAAAAAAATGCAAGTTTCTTAGCTATCTTACCTGCACTTTGGGAGATGCTAGGTTTCAAACTAGCAAATAAAGTCTCCACAGCTTCATAATATATCATTTGGTATACACCTATATATATGTTAAAAAAACTTTCTACATATTTTAACCAGGTTTATTGTTACCAAACAATTTTACCAGCACCCTTGGGTATTTATCTGGCACCCAGAAGTAGGCTTCTATCTCTTGGGAGAAAGGAAAGCACCCCAAGGTCTCCAGTTTGTAAACTACTGAAAATGTAGCTGAACATTATCAAGTCTCCTAAGGGCATTTGACCCCATGAGAATACATTTTTCCTTAAAACAAACAATTTCAGTTTATGCAACTTCTGTTTAAAGCTCGTCTGTTGCCACATGGTTGGTCTCAAAGTTGGCTATTTAGAGGAAGGTTGTAAACGTGACTAGTTCTCTGAGGACCAACTAACAGAAGTTCAACAAGAGCATTGCAACACTGCATTTGTCTCCAGGTCAGTCGAGTTAAGTAATTTCTCAGAAGTTAAAGTGTTTTAAAGAGCTATCCAAACAAGATGATTAGCTTTTGTATTTACGTACTTCCATATACAAACTCACTACCGTTTCTACCAATCAGAACATTAATTACTGCTTCATTCTGATCTCTCCCCCTGTCCTCCCCCTTTACTGCTTGTTTTTCTCAGTCCCTTCTCTGCTCTTCACACTAATGCAAGAATTAAAGAAATGAGGTTTGCTTTGAATACTTGTTTGAATACAAGTAAAAATGGAAACAATCTACTGGAATTAAAATCTGTGTTATAGCTAAAGCAAATCAAACATAGATTGGGAAATGCTCTGCAAAGCTTTGGCCTGAAAACTTCCTAAGGTCACTTCTGTGCCAGGCTGATGATTCTGCTGCTGCTTTTGGCAGATATTTCCCTGGGATAGGGAAAGCAGCCTGAAATACCTCCGGTTACCTGTGCTGTGACACCCAGTGTTGCTGGAGGTGCAGTGTTCAAACACAACAGCAGCCAAAAGGGCTGCCTGCACTGAGGGGCTGCAAAGAAAAACCTCTGCACAAAGCAGGTTGGGAGGCAGGGACATGATGACAACTTCCAAGCAGTCACTTGGAAACGAGGCAGCCGTGCAGCTACCTTGGCCCAACCAAGCAGATAGGGTTGATGTCCTCACACCAACTGCCTACTCTTCTAGAACATTGATCATTTTCATGTCACACCCACGTGAAACAGATGTGGGACATTATTTAGATTAAAAAGTGCCACATCTGACACAAGATTGTGACTAAAGATGACATGGCAAATGGGAAGCAGCAAGCTCCTGAGTGATACGATGTGTGCACATTCTTAATTAGCAGGTACACGTTTTCTTCATTACAGTTCTTGTGATTGAGCTTCTAAACAGGCTGACACCTAATCTCCTGATTAACAACTGCTTTGCATATGCTGATGTATAATCATTACAGGACTGAAGAATCAGATTTTTCTCTATTATTCATTATTTAGCAATCAAAACTAATCAGACTCCACAGAAATGTGAAGTTCTCCCAGCTGTGATTGGCATAATAAACCACTACAACCTTTTATCATACCAGTGAACACTCATTCTGATTTTAAAAGAGGCAATCATGTCTTAGAAGCATATAGCACTGTTAATTTGAAGACCTTAACGTGCAGTGACACACTGAGATCTCAACAGACAGGGTACTGTTGAGAAATGGGAGGATGAGGTGAAACATGCTATGTAAGATGCAAATGTAAAACATTTGTGGCCTCAGTATAATGGTTTTTCTCTGGCATAGCATGGAAACAGGAAAGGCAAGTGATAATTGATGAAAAAACATGGCAAAAAAAGACAAAGGATCCAAGAATTTTGTATTAGAAAAATGTGATTCATAGAGCTCACATCAGCTCAATCCTGGATGTTTGGAAACCTGAGTCTCCCCTTTGATGGGCATGTTGTTTAAATTCCCCGAGACTGGTATGCATTTCAAGCATTATTATAAATAACATCCACTCTTTGGAACCCAATAAGAACTTTCGTAGTGTTTTCAAACACTTGTGTGTGAATGGTCTCATTAAGTCATTTTTTCCATTTCATCTCAAGACTACATGTGTTTTTTGCTTATGAGGCACTGTTGCCTTGTTTTGTAGCCATGAAGAACTGTTCCAAGAATATCAATTTTTTAGAAAGGTTTTCATTCCCGTCTCTGTTCCCTTTGGAGAATTTAACATCTCCCCAACTGCTGCCTTCTGCTCCCAGTTAGTGATCTACATAACGTAATCCAGAAAGATGCTGGACCAGAATTTCAACAACTGGCGTTATGCAAAAGGATGCGGTTTTGCTTCCCGGGCAGGACATGCCTGCTCAGATGAGTGGGAGGCCCTGCTCTCAGCATGAAGACAAGCTAATGGCCTTATCTTTACCTATGCCATAAACTTTTCAATGAATGTTGGCAAACAACCATCTGTGAACCTATGCTAGAGGGAGAACATTTGTCACAGAATGCATTGCATTTAAAGATTCTTTCAGCCAGACTCTTGTTACCCTGATTATACCCCCTGAAATGCGGAGCATCCAGCCTGATTCAACATCTTCGTATTCAGGTATGTGAAATTCTTCAATATGAGAACATTGTGCATCCCTTTAAATGAAATGTAAAGTTGCACAAGTACAATGACTACTATAAATAAGAAAGAAAAGCAACAAAAGATCCTTGGCTTTGCTTTTTATGTTGAAGTTTTCTAAGAAGGTAGGCTGTAAAGAAATAACTTTAGTGAAAATGGTTCTGGAGGGGAAATTAGGCAGAAGTTCACTGATTCTGTAGCTGAGAAAGACAGTGACAGTTTTGTGGCAAGGCTGTAAGTGCATCTGAAAGGCACCCCTTTTGTTCTCCATAAGGCTAAATTGAGATTTATAAAAACCACAGAACAAGATCCTTATTTTTCACCCCCAAAATATCTGAATTAATGCTGGATTTAGGTTAGAAATATCCACAAGGAATATGGAGTACCTTCAGTTGTAAGACATGCCTGCAGGAAGTCACTGATGCTGCAATGCTCATCCCAAAACATGTCAGTGGTTGCCTTAGACTTCTCTAGTTTGTTCCCTTCTCCCCTGGAGGGAGTCAGGACCCTGCTGGACTCTGTGACATTGGGGTACAGGTGGGTTTGCATTTTGGCAGATACAGAGTATATATATAGATTCATATAATCATAGAATGGTTTGAACTGGAAGGTACCTTAAAGCCCACCCAATCCCAAACACCAGCTCAGACTGCTCAGGGCCCCATCCAACCCAGCCTTGAACACCTCCAGAGATGGAGCATTTACAGTGTCTCTGGGCAGCCTGTCTACCTTGCCACCCTCTGAATAAAGGATACGGAGATTTACATTGACCTGTTTTTTGAAACAAAGCCATGAAGTGAGCTGATTGCAGGAGGCATCATGGGGAGGAAAATGCATATATTCACCCTTGTGCCCGCAGTGACACCAGGGAGATTTCAGAGGTGCCAGTTCCCACCCTTGATGAGAAAGGAGACACAGCACACCTTCCCTCCCATTAACGCACACCTATTGATCTAGTCCCCAGCACCATTACTACGGATGGTGAAAATGCATCTCTTGGCTTTTGTCAAGTCCAGAAACAGTGCCCAAAGCCATGGTGACAGACCTGGATCAGCTGGGCTGCACTCTCTGGGCTGCCGTACCGATGGTCATGCCCATTGATGGCCAGGACCCGGTCGTTCTCCTGCAGCTGGCCATCACGGGCAGCCACTCCTCCATCCAGCAGGTTGAAGATGAACACGCCAGGTTCGTCGGCCCTGCGGACCAGCTTTATCCCTAGCTGCTCATCGGGGCTGCTTTTGTTCAAAATGACGTGGAAGCTGTCATCCCTGCTGCAGTGAGCATCGAGGCTGAGCCCGCTGCTTCGGCACCGGTACCGCTGCTCCCTCAGTACCGTGAGCCGCAGCACGTGGCAGGGTTGCTTCAGGATGGACAGGGCGTAGTGGTGAGGCACGTTTTTGATGTCCATGCCATTCACCTGGAAGAGAGAGCTGTAAATCAGTGGCAGAAAGGCAATTTAATCTGAATTGGCATGAAGACGGCTGCTCTATTTACACAGATGTCTTCATATGAGGTGGTGTGCTTTGCTCCCAACAGCGTGGTGCAGCACGCCAAGTCTGTGTGCAAAAGAGTCCTTCCTCCAAGGAAAGGACGCCCTGTACAGACACTTTCTGCTTTCCACCCCCTCCCCCCCCTTCTCTCAGCTCAGATAGTCTCCAGACATAACTGTTATTTCTCAACTTTATTATTGCTCTCCCCCAAGCTCCAATATCCTTTCATATATCTTGGTTTTATTTCACTAGCTTCTGATTTCAGATCACCTTGCCAGCCCTTCCTTCCACTCCCACTACTTTCCAGTTGTTTCTCTTCATTATCTCTCAGCTGTATTACTAAAAGCAGAAAAAAAAAAAAAAAAAAAAAGTGCCCCACTAATGAACCTCTAATTAAAATGGAGAAAAGAGCCTCAAGCAGAAGGCCAAAAGCACTGGTTATTTAGCAGGGAGTCATGCTTACACACCACACTGGAGTGTTGGGCTTTTTGTGTTTCTTTTTCCAGGTAGGATTTACCAGGTAGCCTTTCTTCTGAGTACTGAAACATTAAAGTAGTGTAGCACCCTTTCAGAGCTCCAAGTCAAAGGGGCAGCTGGGAGAGCTGTTCTTGTTCATTGCTGGAGCCACTGTTCACAAGATACATGATTTTTAACCACCTGGCCTAATTCTTGCTCATCTGTTACACATTTCTATAGATGCAGAAGTAGCAGCCAGCAGCTAACACCTGAAGGCTGTTCATTTGTTCCTGGAGATTCCACCTGTGGTTGCTGATGGGGCAGCTCTCACAGATCAGAGCAAGCAGTGCCTCACGTTGTATGGTGCTGATGCAGATAGGACATAAGTTGACCAGGCCTCTGTCATCTGTTGTAAGTGGGATTTGAAGCAATGGAAACTGCACTAAGTGAGATTCAAATCCACAGCTCAGTAGAAACAAACAAACAAAAAAAACAGGTCAAAAAAGCCTTGCCCCTGCTTTCAGAAGAAAATGTTTATTCTGCTGGGTCAGACATGCCAACATCATGCTGCAATGCATTTTGGATCTGCCATGCTTGGCTAGGAAATACAGAAGCCTGATAACTGAGTGGGAAATGCAAACAAATGTGAGTTACGAAAACAGCTGTGATGAATAAAATCATCACAGCATGCAGAGGAACCAGACTTCTTGCATGTATTGTTCAATCTACACACGGCAGCACTGCAAACCTCATGATCAATTTATAGTTACTCTTGGTCAGGATACAATTTTTTTTTTTTATCTTGTACTCCCACTGTACTGTACCTTCAGTATCATGTCTCCAGGCAGCAATCTTCCATCTCTGGCAATTACTCCATCTCGATAAATATGCTGTATAATAATGTGAACCAAAGGAGTCTCGCTGCCTCCCACAATCCTAATGGCCAGGTTCTCATGGGGATCAGTCCGGTTGATCTTAATGCAGGTGATTTCACCATCTGGAATCAGGTGATACAATCTGGGAAAACCTGGAAATGTACATCGTAAGGTATTTATATGACATCTTGTCTTTGCTTCATTAAAGCATGCACCATATGACTTCAAGTACCTGTCAGTTACCCAAACTAGGTTTTATGCATTGATATGATATATACTACGTGTGCAGCAAAGGAAATGTATGTTTGCTTTAGTGAACTTGAAGGGATCATTTTTAATGAATATATTCAAGCTTCTCTTCTATTCTTTTCCCCTTCAAAGCACAGCCTCAAACACTTGATGCAATCCAGACAGATGAAATGAGCTTAAGAAAAAAAATGCAGTTATGCGTGCTAAAATTTTAAGGGAATAAAATATGTTTTTAGTCACCAGACACCCCTCTGAAACAGGTCACAGCTCCTCACTGGCCCTAGAGAATATGGGCACAGACAAGCCAACAAACCCTGGTGGTCTGTGCTGCAGTGGGCTGCTGACTTTCCTCACTGCTAGTAGCCATGCAAACTTTTTTCTTTTTTTTCTTCTTTTTTTTTTGCCTTGAGCTTACAGAAAGGCAAATTTTCTTTGGCAATCCAAAGCAAACAGCAGTTTCCCTACCAGATCATCCTCTTTACATCACACTTGAAGTCTAGGAAGCAAGAATATCTGGCTGTTACTGCAAAGGATCAGTATGAAAACCAATATACATTCAGAAAGGGGAATTTCAGAGGTGATGTGATAGATCTTCAAAGAGTTACACAAGCAAAAGTACTGCTGCTGGCCAGCCAGCTCTGAGTTCTAACACAAACTTATCCTAAGCCTTGTTAAGAAATGTGAATTCAAATGAGAACATATCTGCTGCTATTGATGCAGGAGGTGACATTTCCACAGTATTGCCCATAGCCTTGAATAAATCTACACAGACTGGGTGGTATTTTCACAAATCTGTCCTGTGCTTAACCCAGACAACTCAACACTCTGAACTACACTCTTCATGCATGAAGGATGAGCCACTCTACTTTCAGAAGCAGTCAGCCCTCCTGAATGAATCTGTTTTTCCCAAGATTTTTCACATGTTATGAACCTGTGGGGTAGAAGGGAATGATGCTGACAGCTCAGCTGCAAGGGAAGATCTCTGCTGGCATTGGCAATCTAAGTGTGGGGAAGAAGGACCAACTGTGTGCAGGGATCCTGTTTTTTAGTTATGATGTGCTGGGGACTGCATCTCCTTCCAAACCCTATTTTTCAGCTGACATGTTAGTCTGCACAGCATGTCTTGGGCAATTTTAATCCACATTCATCACTGAGTAAAATTCAAGTAAAAGCACTACTGAGATGTCTGGTACAGACACATCAGTCCTTAAGTGTCTTGTGACCCTCCACAAGTGACAGAAAGCTTTTGAATTTCTGGTATAAGAGTCCACATTATGTGTAAACCTGCAAGTAGAAAAATGAAGTGCAAACATTTTTTCAATACGCTATTTTAGAAATTAAAGTACAGCAATTGCAACTGAATAGCAGAAAACTGTGAAATCAAAACTAATAGAGCAGTACCAGAGAGAGAATAAATATTTCCTACTGCAGAATTATCAGGTAACAAACCAGAAAAGCACCAAAAGTTCCTGGTAGAGATCGAGGGGAAAGAAAGAGTAGGAAAATAAAACCATTAATAAATACCACATTAAATCCCTTACCACTTCTTGATCATAGGCTCTTCGGAATGGGAAGCTGTCTTCCTCCACGTCTGCAAAAAGCACCTACCGGTTGCACAGACTTCGACTTCATAGTTTTACACAAAGTTGACAGGCAATGAAAATCTATCTAGATAATTACACACCTGTGCTCAATCTAATATCCAAGGATCACTTAATTACACTCCTGTTGTGGTTTCTGCAGCTGTACTGATTTGCTTCAGAGTTGTGCACAACTTTAAAGCCTTAGGACTGAAAGGTGAGTTGTTCCCCCATACTCCTATACTTTCTGAACGTTATTTGCCCAGGTTGGAGCTTGTTTGATTCCCCCTTGTCTGAAGGTGGACTCATACCATTTAAAGGCAGGCCTCTATCCCAAATGCCTAATTTCCTATGCAGGGTATGAGCACCCAAAGGAGCTGCTAAACTCCCTCTATTGCTATGTAAGAAGACAAAGCCAGTTACCTGATGGCTCAGTGAAGTGCTTAAGGCCAGATGACACAAGCACTCCTCAACAATCACCGAAGGCTTTTTCCTCATGCATAGTTTGTACTCCCGAGGTAGCATTAAGGGTTTACGTTAGTAAACCACAAATGATAATATAGACCCTCATGCATTCTGCTCTGCTCAAAAACGGAAGAAATAAATATTTCTATATATTTTGCAAGCTATCAAAACAGTCCCATAGCAGAACTGATCCCACTTCACTTTGCATGATGATTCAGCTCAGGTTGTAACAAATAGCACTTGGTGGCATAGGCATTATTCGTAGGCACTCATACGTCAATCTGTTCTCTTTTTCTAAAGGAATTAGCTATTTCTTGCCCATAGAGAGCAGATTGAACAAGCTGCTGATGCACTCATGTTATATCAGTTTCTAAATATCCCAGAATAAAACCAGAGCAACGTGGCAGTGAACAAGACCCATCATACACAAAAGAAAAATACTTATGTAAGTTCTTTTGCTTCTTGAGCAATGCTTTAACTGGTTCATAAGTATTGCGGTGGCATTTGATTTATTTTCAGTATGACTTCATGCAGATCCTTTGAAAGAATTTCAAATAACTGATTTCCTTCTAAAGCACACAGTTCACAACAAAACAAATCATCCCACAGCATTTTTCTTGCCAGTGTGCAAGTCACCATGTTCCCCTTTTCATAGGATATGCTGCTTCACATCCCAGGATTGATTTGTGTTCTTTATTGAATATAATTAGTAAATTGTACCTTTTTCTTCTCAGATGAGTGAAACATCAAAAAAGTGAATGACTACTTAATTTCTGATATCTTCATCAAAGATTTGCCTCTTATTTTCAACCCAGATATACACATGGATGTTTGCATAATCAACAGTTTAGACTGTCACGATAAAAATACAACTGACTATTTTAAAAAATATGTTTGAAAAACTAAATGTACACACACATATATTTTCGAATAGCAGAATTTGAGATAGCTTTCTCATCAAACAATCAAACAATCTGTATATATTACATAGAGGCTCATTACAACCTACCTTGCCTGTTTTAAGAAAATGCTGCATGCAGAAACAAAGTCTTTGACCTGAAATTTTGTAATGTGTGCACTATTCCCACAAGAGCTGGGCCCTGCTCCAGCACCTGGTTACCCACAGTGAATGGGACCTCAGTGGGTCTCACCAAATGTAAGGAGTCTGGGTAAGAGCTTGCACCACTCACATGCATGCATCCTACTGTGGGGTTTGCACAGACCCCACTTTCCAACCCTTTCCAGCTCTTAAAATTCTCAGCTCCCTTTGACCAGGTTTTCCAGAGCAGGAAAACCCTGGAGTATTGCATACCTTTCTTTACCATTTTATATTTCCAGTCCTTAAATATTGAAGCGCTGCTGAATCTAGAAAGAAGTAAATTTTCTGTCTTGTTTTTGGTGACTCTTGCAGGTCTTTCCACCGAGTGTTGTGTTTTTGTTGCAGGGATTGGTATGGAGCATTCTGAATCTGTCAATAATAACAAAATGTCATCTGCATTCAGAAATATTTTCTATGCTTTTTCCTCAGGTAATATTTTCCTTATATTAAAGTAAAATTTTATCTGTGTTTTCATCAGAGTAACAAATAACGTAGGAGAGGCCAGCTTTACCCATCAAATTCTGCTTGTCTGATACAACACAGGACACCACAGAATTAGTAGTACATTAGCCATGAGACTTGTAATAGGCACTTTTAAGTACACTTAATATTTTAGCCCCACAGTTTACAGTTCTTAACGTAAGTGTTCCTCCAGGTCTTGGGTTTCAGCTGATTTCTGCATGTACTGTTCTCCTTCTGGAAGTACCATTAGAATAACAGCTGCCGCCATCCCCACAGCTCTGCTCAGTGTGTCTGCTATGACACTTGGCTCCAGAGTAATGCAAGGTCACTGTGAGCACAACTTCTGTCTCACATTGCCAGTCCTTGCCCAGACCAGAAGGTCTGGCTGATGGGAGGTGCTGGCTGGAGCCTCCGGAGCTTTGTGTGCCTACATCCCACCTCCATGAATCCATCTATCTACAGGGATAGCAAGCGTTCAGGCACATGGTCATCACAATTTAAATGAAAATGGTGTAAACTATTCTTGGAAAATACGTGTGTCTGTGAACATCACTTGAATCAGTGTGAGGTTTTGTTCTGCAACTCTTCCTTTACAGTAATTTTCCAGTTAGCATTTCATTCTCCCAATGGCTTGCCATCTTGTTTTGAAAACAAGAGTGCTATTCATTCCATTAATTCTCCAGGGATGCTGGTCCGATGCAGGGGGCAGGTAGTTGGCAATGCCAACTGCAGTGTCTTTCATCTTCTCTTACTGAAAGAACTAAAATGAAATTGTCATAGAGTTGTCCAAAAGATCCAAAAGAACTGTGGCTCTTTTAGCAGCAGCAGAAGTTGATCAGTTCACCTATCTGCAGTGGATGAAACACTACAGAGACAATCTCATCCACTTGAAAACTGTCCAGCTCACTATCCTGGGGGCAGAGTGCTTTCAACCAGTTGTGTAATATTTCTAGCAGCCATTTTAGGAAAACAGAACTGCAGTTGAATCACATTTGGGAAAACAGGAACAGTACTAATGTAGCCTTCCTAGGGCGAAAGTTGAGCTGATGTTTCTTGTCCTGGGGCTGGGAAAGTCACTTTGTTTTCTTCACTTAAGAAGTCTTATTGCCATGGAATGGTTGAAAAAGACCTGGCTCTGGCACTTAGAGCATTCTGCATTTCACTTACCTCCTTTTTCTTCATGTGCCTTTCCAAAACACCAAAGTATTTATAAAATCTATCTTACACATGCATATGCATATACATGTAGACATACACAGAGAAAACACAGCTGGGCTCCAGCTGAACAGCAGGAGGGAGGTACACCCACACAACAGTAGTCTGCTCTGTGAGCCTGCCAGTGCTGCCAGGGCTGCCTTGGTCTTGACTGCTGCAAAGCAATAACAGATGTAGCACTGCACCAGCCCTGGGACTAAGAAGAATTAGCTGACTTTGAACTGCATTTGACATCCTCAAGCAATCATAAATTCAATTTATTTTACAATGACTTGACTGCAAAATGGAACTGATGACTGATTCTGAAAACTAGCAGTATGGCTCTCTTTTACATTAAAGAGGGTTTTGCAATTGCATTCTTGAATTCTTTCCTCCCAAAGAATTAGCTGCTTTACAACTTGTATTTGTAGATCAGCTTGAGTAAAGAGTGTATATATATAATCTTTCTTGGACATGAATTTAAAGTGTGATGCCAGAATAAGAGTACAGTGATACAAATAAGCATGGCAAAACCAGAGCAGTCTTTGCTCGGAGATATTTTATCATTTAACTAGATTGTCAAGGTCATTTACACTACTAGATCCAGTCAAAAGATATCACATCTTAAATGCATCACTGCCGGAAGGGTGTCCCTGTCACTGTCCCTCACTTCTCAGAATGAAACAGTCTCTTTTAAACTTCCCTAACCTTTACTTCCGACCTGGGAAGCCATGTGCAGTACTAAGTGCCATGAGTGACATTATTCTCTGGTTATTTACAAATGATCAAGTTATTAAAAATGAGAAAATCTTAAGCCGTTCTCCACCTAAACAGTTTCTTCTCACTGTTCACAATTTTCATGCCCTTTTAACATGTTCTTTCACTTGGACAGTGAACACTTTTCTACTGAAAATATCACCATAGGCAGAGAAAAAAAGAAAGCCTGGATCACTTAAATCCAGAACGTGTGTATACAACATCAGCTTAGATGTATCAAAGCATGGGCTGCAAATGGAAATCATGAAGTCATTTTCACAGCAAAGGACTCCTAACAGCTGCAGGTGTAGGACAGCACTAGACTTCAACTATTCTCCTGCTCTAATTACACTAGAAACAGTACAGATATCATATTTTTCAGTGTCCTGGGGCAGCAAAGGAGTTTTCCAAATCCAGCATTACATTCAGCTTTTAGATTAAGTCTAATCATGGTTATTTGGATGCCATCCCTCCCCCATCAGGGGATGACTTTTGTCCTGCATCCCTGCAGGGATATGGCAGTTGGGCACAGGCCCAGTGGAGATACAGCATCATATTAGAGGTACCTCCACATGCTGCAACAGGCAAAAAATTGATGTGACAGCAGAAATCCATGGCTGCTGCTGCTTTTGGGGACAATACACAGGTACACATCACAGTTTTTGCTTTCAGAGTTCTTTTAAACAAAATAGAGGCAAAACACAATAAGCAGAGATACCTGAATCGAGATGAGGAAATTCTAAAAATGGGGGACAGTCAGACTTGTATTAAATAACTGCAGAGCAGACTGCAGCTATCCTTAATGGGTGACCAGCTCTCACCAGGAGTCCAAATCCAGACTATTTGGAACAAGAAAGGGTTTTAAAAAAAACAGGAATAGAATAAAACATACAGAACCGGAGAAGAAATCAAGTACCCAGCTGGCAGGATGGTGATAACTGCTACAGAAAGAAGTATATTCATTTCTTCTTCCAACAAGAAGAAACAGGGAGTGCCTTTGAGATGCACAAAGCACCTGCTGCAAAGGGCTAAACAGAGATCCTTGTTAAAGTTATATTTGTATTACAGCACATTACTTGCTTGCTTTTTTTAAATGCCAAATTCCAAAACAGACTAATCAAAATGCATTCTTTGCGTATGTAATTAATACCGTCATTTGAGGACCCAGCTTCTGTGAGCTCATGCATGACAGTAACTGCTCATTAAGTAATTACATGTCTACCTGGTTTTTCCAGTGCAGTAGAATATATCTGGAATTTTACAGGCACACTTGGTGCTGAATAATGACATCACAAGCAGAATCAGGCACAGAATGACATCTTTACAGAGAGTGCCCTTCCAAGGGACCATTATATATCCCTTAAAGAGGAGACGGTGTTTTTCATTCTGCTGGAAATACAAAGTCCAGCGTCACCCTCACATCTACTTCTTTTATCATCAGGGTTACTGGCCAGGTGTTGTTGGCATCCAGATTCCCTCATGATCTCTGGACGTGAAACCAAGCTTTCAGCGGACTATTAGCAATGTCCACTATAAGCCTAGGTAGAAAGCTTTCCATGCCTGTGCCTAAAAATCGTTTTTTGAAAAGCATGAGCCTGAGAAATTCAGGATTTCACTCTGTCTGAAGAAGGTCAAGATTTGATTACAGCGGATGGAGCAGTTGCTAGCAAATGAGAAAAATACCTGTTTCCTCAAAGATGGCAGTAAGCAACTTCTTTACGAACTTTTACCAGGGAATCTTTAAAAAATACTTGGTAAAGTTATTAACTACATTTCAGATCAAGAAGCAGAATCATATTATTTTTATGGAAAAGTTTCATGCTTTTGAATTATCTGGCTTTGTTTTGGTTACATCAACAAAAATCTGGACAAGGAGAGCAATGATTGGGAACACAAGACTACGTGGAACTCTTCTGAAAAAAACAAGCAAGGAAAGCAGAAGAGGTACTAAACACTGTTCTCTGATTTTAGAATAGCTATGTGTAAGCACAATATTTGGCATCATTATGTCCTTATTTTCAATGGGTTTCAATGACAGCATGTCATAATATAGCAAAGCAAAGTTGACTCTGTTGCCTTCTTAAAGCTTTTACTCTGGACTTTTTATCTGGGAAGAGAGCTGAGGTGCTGAGGCATCAGACAAAGGAATAATGAACTCAATTAGGGCCTTGATTAAGACGATGTTTCCCGCTCTATCATCACTTCCTCTTGATGCACGAATGCTAATGTTGGCTTCGTAATTATGATCCAAAACAATTAGTAACATTTGCTTATTGTTTTGAGAATGCCAAATGTTAAGTGCTACTGCCTGCCTGACAATGTCAGGGCAACTTGCCTTTTCCCTCAGCTGAGAGCAGAGGGTTCTTACCTCATCACCTGCCTAGCTGAGGCAACACAAATCTATCACTAAGGACCCTACAAGAAATACTGGGGTAATTTCAGTGCTTTACTCTTTCCTACTGTCATTCCACTGGTAACTTCTAGTGGTTCATAACCATTAGCAGCAACTTACGAGATTTCCATAATGTGTGATCACTGTGATCTGTTTGCTTTAGGGGGAAAACACACACATGCTGGCAAAACCTCTTGAACTAAATGACCGAATGACCCAAAAAATCAAATCAGCAGCAGCTCCAGTAACAAGTCCCAGATGCTCAATTCCACATCCTGTGCATTGGATACTGGATCAACTGTTGTACATAGGCAGTTACCAGCACAACCATTTGTGAGGTCCCACACACCTCTGCTTTTCTCTTCCCTCTCATTCACTAAAAGCTTTTTTAAAATAAGGAAAACTAGTTTTCAGCTTCCTTTTAATCATGTGCACCCACATGATTAAATGAAATGTATTGAAATGTATTGAATTTCATTAATGAAATGAAATACATGTCAACATTGGAACAGCCAGCTCCAACATGCATGGGGTCCCTTGCCCCATCTCACTTAAATGTGAGAATACAAGAAGAAAAAAGCATTACCTTCTTCTCCAGCAACAGAGTTTCCAACAGCCTCTCTTTCCTGGTCAGCCTGGTTGGAAACCACACTTCCACTTTTTGTCCTTCGAAGAACACTGAATGCCTTGTTTATTTTTTTAAAAGATCTGCTTCTTATAGTGGAGCGTTCAAAGTGTCGAGCTGCAACAGCAGGAAAAAAAATCAATGTTTCAACAGTTTCAGACCCACATCATTTCTGCAGCCTTTGGCAGAAAACAGGGCAAAACAGCAACACTTTGATGTCGTGACTCCAAGACAACACCCACTTGCATGGAGGTACAATTATCCTACCTCTGTCCCACACCCTGACACTGCCACCTCTCCTGTCTATTCTGCCAGCCACATGCAGATATCTGTACCTGCAAGTGTGGCAGTGTGGGAGAAAATAATCCTTGGTCAGGGCAGAATCAGCAACAATCTAGAGAAAAATGTATAGAAGAGGAAGAAATACTGCCCTTCTCAAGCTGCATAAGTTAGATCTTCCCCACCCAAAAAATCTGGAATTTGTTGCTGAAAATCCACTACTGCCTCAAAACCCTGGCAATGCTTCCAATCTGCCAACAATATTATGACAAAAATTCAAAGATCATCAGGTAGGAGGGACCTACTAATTCACATCTTATAGCTTGGGTAAGACAACACAAAAAAAAAAAATCATAGTAGTTTCACTCTCCTTTCCATCCTACTGAAGATATTGTCACTCTCTTTGTGCTCGCCAAACATTGTAATCTAATAATATAACATTCCCCCAAACCAGACTGCAGCTTTTAAACTCTGGTGGGATTTAATTTCATCCTGATGTTCTTGCTCTGTCCCTTTCCATCTCTCTCTTTCTGCATGCACAGAAGGGGATATTGCTGCTCTTCGTTTAATCTTCCTTCAGCCTTTCATCCATTCTCCCAGCACAGGCCTGATGCATCACAAAGCTTGGGAAACACAGTTTTGGCTTCAGAGACCGCAAATACAAGATTTGACCTCACTGTTAATACTTCTACATAAACCATATTTTTCAATTACGATGCTCATCAGAGCCAGGTGGTATGCCACAGGGTGAAGAATCAAGGCAAGGAGCATCTTGTCCCTAACTGCTGTTATTTCAGCAGAAATAGCAGTTCTGAAGTGCTGCTTTCTGGGAATCTGGCAAACGCTTCCCAAGCTCCCAGAAACCTCTCATCATCTGTTTTACTCTAAATATTTGTCAACTGCCAAAAGATTTGTGCGTAGGTGCCCATCACATAGTCTGTAGGGACTACCTGGGCGATCATGTTTTGTTGAAGCTGTTGTTGCACCATCTCCTTGGCCCTTCACACACCCCAAAGGAGCCGACTTGCCTAAATAATCATTCTTCAGACCTGCAGTTTGCCTGTGTGCAGCAAGTCTTCAAATAAATGTTGCCACGGGATAAGAAAATTTGTTTTTCACCTGAAATATATTGGGTCACTGAAGTCCCATTTGGAAAAGCCAATTCAAATTTTTCTCTAAAAAAACAACATCCTCCACCAACATGTGTTTCACAGAAAACAGACACTGGAAGAGGCCACCAGCTCCAAAAACAACCCTCTGTGTCCTTACTTCTGTTGCGGTTGCTGCAGTGCAGGTCCCTGGGGCCGCTACCCGACTGGCTGTCCTCCGAGGTGGGGCTGAAGGCTGGGTTCACCAGTCCTGGCTCGTCGGTCATTAAGGCGATGGCTGCAGCTGCAGAAAGCTCAGGGCTCAAAGCAGCTACTGCCAGGCTGGAGCTGTGGTCCGGGGAGCAATCCTGGGAACGCCGCTTCCGCTCCTTGGTAAGGCCATAGTGGGATGCTCCTTTGCATCTGAGGAGAAGGCAGGGAAAGGAGACGTGATTACAAACTGTATTGAAATGTTGCCTACTTATGGCAGTTGGCCAGTTCTGGGGAATTACTCAGAGTGCAAAATGTGACTGTCGCAGCGGATGATGATATACAGGCATGGATCAGGAAGAAAAATGCCAGTCAATTGTGAAGAAGGGAAACTGTTTTCCGAACTAGCTGAATTTACATAGGAAGTCTACTGATGGTCAAGAGAAGAAAGAGAGTTGCAATGAAAACTTCAGGCCCATAGTACCATTCAGTGTGGGTGAAGAAGGATGCATGAACAAGCGGCTCGTTACACCACAGACTGCAGCCTGTAATTTTCCCCTTGCCTCTGGTTAACGAAGGAGATCATGGTGAGATGTAGCAGCTTCTCTATTTCTACTGGCTGAGTGAAAGGTATCTCGCCCTGATCCACGCTCTGGCCAGCCTGCCTGATCACCAGGCAGTGACACCAGGAGCCCAGTGTCACATTCATTCATCCTCTCCAATCTTAAGGCTGGTTCTAAAACAATTCCAGGGAGAAATCCAGCTCCTACATTCTGACCTGGCTTTAGTAGTGACAAAATTCTCCATTTCTGATAGATAGAAGTATACTCTCAGAACAACCGACTTGTGACCCCAGCTGTCTGCTCTGGGCTCATCCCAGACAGCAAGATTGGGAGAATGCACGGCATTTCCTTCTCAGACTTCCTGAAGACTATCACTCCAAGCAAATTAGAGGTTTCTTGCTCTTCTTGGTTCAATATATAATTAAAGATATAAAACAACCAAAGAGACAGAGTGGCCCAAGGAAATAGCCCTTGTGACTTCTCTCCAGCATCACTTCTGTGCCCTGTGCACGCTCTATAACCTCATTTACCACGTTAAAAAAGAATCCACCTTTTAATAATGACCTAATGAGCTTGGCCTACAGTTTGCTGCTACAATTCTCTCTTTCTTAATAGAGAAGCTAGCTGATTACTTTCATAAAAATACACTGCAGGATGAACTAACAGAAATAGCTGCAGAAATCCTTAGGGATAGAAAGCTCTTCGTAATATGTGGCATGCACAAAAGGCAATGCATAATACATACCATACACAGCGCTAATGGGTTAAGTGTCAGGAAAAAAAGTAATATGCGGAGTAGAGGTCTTGGGAGAGAGATGATTTATGAAAGCTGTGCCTGGGACAGAAAGATGAGACGAGGATGAATCGCAGAGCTCTCTATGTTAGCTTTGGAGCAGTGACTTAAATTCACTTACAGTATTTGCTTTTTAAGAGGGAATTAAATTAAAAACTTTTTAAAGCATTGAATTATGATTTACCATCACTTACCTCATACCACTTTGGATAACTTCCCTCTTACAGAAGAAAAAACCCAATCTGTATCACACTGATGCAGTTGTGTGGGAGCTTTGTACATACTTTAAGCTTTGGATGAGAATGCCTGTGGCATAGAATCTATTTCTAAACCCTTTCAGAGCAAAAAGATACATCTCAAAAGAAAATACTCCCTTGTGGAAAAGAGAGTTGCTTGACTATTTCAAAAGATCAACAAGAAGACATCTGGCACACCTATTCCAAAACAAGGCTGTGAAAAGGAGGGGAGAAGTCCTCTTGCCTCCATTGCAGTTCCTTCTTCCATAAGCAAGGTCTAAATTCACCACTTGCTTGAGCTCTGTCAAGCTGCATGTCCACCAGCACCTTGCACCCAAAAGGACAGGCATGATATTCTCCTCGTATTACTTTCCTTGCCAGTAAAGGCTTGATTGCTGTTGTTGGGGAATCAGCCCTGTAAATGAATCCTAAAATTATTATTATTTTCACTGGGTTGCATGAAAATCAGCAAGAAGCATCTTCTCCCAGGTAACTAGTGACAAGGCTCGAGTAGGCCTCAAGTTGCTCTAGGGGAGGTTCAGTTGGATATTAGGAAAAATCCCTTCTCTGAACAAATGGTCAGGTGCTGGAACAGGCAGTGCAGGGAGGTGGCTGAATCCCTGTCCCCAGAGACGATCAAGAAGTATTTAGATGTTGTACTAAGGAACATGGTTTAGTGGGGAAATATTGGTGGTGGGAGGACTAGATTAACTTGGAGGTCTTTTCCAGCCTTGATAATTCTATGGCTCTATGATCAGAAGGGGCTTTGTGCAAAGATTCCCCCATGCAGCTGTAGGGTCCAGCTGCTACAGGTGCCCATCTGCTGATCACCCAGTAGCACCGTCACAGCCAGTGCTGCTGAAGACTTTACTTTTCCGTGCAAACATTAACTTGCTGCTGGCTGTGCTACAGACACCTGGTCACCAGCATCTGTCCAACTGCGGGAGCAGCTTTTGAATGCAGAGAGGACTGACAAAGTTTAAGATGTGGCTTATTGGAGAAGACAACTTATCATGACACAGAGCACAAAGGATATCTTTCTAATTCTGCCAGAAATAGTTAAAAGAGAACCAAAGCTCTCCAAGCATAAGCACTGAATCTATTTCTTAAATAACTGTGGCAGGAATAAATGAACACAATGCAAGCCTTCTTTCTTCAGATTAACACAGTGTCCTTGAAGAATGAAAAAAGTACTCAAACTTGTAATAAAATCTGCAACAGCATCTCTTCACTTTCATTGTTTTCCTTGTGCTGACACTGCTGTGATAACAGAAAACAGAAAGAGACAACTGTCTAAGTGGAATCATATTTATAGTGTCTCAGCTACATTTTTCCATATGGTTGGGTTTGGCTCCCAGAAAAGAAAGATCCATAAAACAGCTACATGCCAGTACTAATTATCTCCCTCACTGTGATTATTAATCAGCTGCCTGATTTACAGCTGGAGGAGAGGGATGGAAATCCCAGCAGGATACCTGAGTAACGGGGGGCAGCCCTAGAGTGAGCCCAGTGCTGTCTGATGGCCAAGGTGAACTGCAGATTTATGTTCCTTCTCAGTTGCTCTGGACAGAGGGTAATTCCATGCAGCCGTCTGATATCGAAATGATTTGAAGGCCGAAAGCAAGAGATAAAAACAGACATGAAAAATGTGTAGTACAGCCCATGACGTTCAGGTAGTGTCTCTAGGTGTGTGGGGGAAATTCAGAAAATGGCTTCTTCTGTTTGCACCACCTCTTTTGTCAAGCAGCAGTGTGCCATCTGAAATACTGCCTGCATGACAGTTACCCTCCGTGCAGGGAAGGACTGCTCTCTCCTGCTGTGGTAGCAAATCCAGTGGGGATCGGAGCCACAGCTCTGCTCACTTGCTCCATGGCCTCTGATCAAACCCAGGCCAAAACAGCTTCAGTATAATAGCTCCCTTCTGATCTTACACTGCAAAAAGCCTCCCACAAACTGTTCTTAGAAGGCCACAGAGGCTGCTGAACCTTCACCCGGCGCTGCAGACCAAGCTCCAGGGCTTACTGTGCCTGTGCCTGGCTCTGCATGCAAGGGATCCTGTGGTCCCATCCCCAGTAGCAGCATGTCCCAAGCGCTGGAGTGAGGGATCCAAAACCTCATGTCTGCCTTAACTTGGTCTTACTGCTTATCAAAACAAGCTTTTGCCAAATCCACAGCCAACAGAAACATTTCCAAGTTGCTTGCAAATTCAAGTGAAAGAATCGGTTTTAAAACAAGGATGCCTTGCAAAATCCCTAACTCACACTGTGGAGCAAGGGAAGCTGAAAAGTAAAGCTAACCCCAAGGACTTCCATCATCCTGGTGGATGCAGGGGCAAAACATAAAGGCAAACAAGGAAAACTTCACAGACATTTCATTACTACTGATAAGAATGTACTAAAATTATAGGCCAAATACATATATAACACATTTTCTCTCTGATAATCTGTCTGTGCCACCTCTCAGGCCAGCCCTCCTGCCCGTAGCTCACAGCTGACTGTCCAGACAGGGGCTGGCAGTGGCTCTGGAGCAGCAGCAGCACACAGTCGTGCTGTGGTACAAACAAACAGAGCAGCAGCGATCCCTGCCCATGTCGCGCCGTGATTTCCTGACCTCGCTCCCAGCGTTCTCATATTTTGGTACTGTTTTGTTTCAGCGCAGCTGTGGCGGACACATTGTCTGAGTGCAATTAAGAATAATGTATACAAAGTACTCACAATTGCCTGGCAGAAGAAAATACTGCATAAAGGGCTGTCATCGCTGATCCCAAGCTAAGTCCTGATTAGGGCAGACAAGTGTGTTTCAGCTACACCCTCGCTGCAAGTAGTATCATTCTTGTGTAATTTGGGCTCCACACAAACGGGATCAGGAGCACCAACAGCGTGCATCACACCCCGACTCCATCACACAGCCCCCTGATCACTCCACTATTCCCACACAGACCTATCAGAAAGGCTGATGGAGGCAATGAAAGCCACCAACATCCTCGTAACCTCCCTTGTGAGGCTTCACGATGTGAACCTGCTGAGAGGCCCTTACCTTACCTGGAAGGCAGTGGGGATTTGAAGCAGTGTGGCTGCCTCACAAAGAGGTGCTGGCAGTTCCTGCCCCACAGGAACTGTTCACACAGTGTGTGCATCAGCAACAACTGCAGCCCAAACATAACCCAAACACCAACCATATCAATTTCAGGCCAAAAGCCTTCCAAAACTCCACCCTAAGCAAGTGGACCAACTTGGTCAGTCCACAGGCAGAGCTCACTCCAACTCTCTTCTTCTTACCTGTGACAATAGCATACCAGAAACCATAGCCAAAAATGAAAGAGTGAAAAACCTGAACTCAAACTGAGACTGGAGTAACGTACACATCTAAATGAAAAGCTACCAAATGCATATCTCAGTTCCAGACCAAGAAGGCCAGAAAAATCAAAACACTGAACAGTGCAGGTGACCAATACCTGCTGCTCCATGTACCCAAAGGTGCAGTATTATCCTTGCTTAGAGAGTTGTGACTCCTGATCCTGAATAGGAAATTCCTTCCTTTTGCTTTATACAAACATCACTCCTGGAACTGAGGGCTTAGCAGCTTAGTGTGCTAAAGCAATGTTTTTTCCCCTGGTATTTC